TAAATAGTTTAAGAAGAAAATTTATTCTATACACACTTAGTTGAAAATAATAGATATTGTCATTTATTTCATAATTTTAATTGAAATTAAGTCTAAATTATATAGTACAAAGTTTTATAATTGTTAAATTTTCTGTAAAATCAAAATGTGGATTTATATTATTTTTTTTGTATCTTTACCAAAATTAGGTTAGTTAATTTGGTTTGATAAAGAAATATTTTAATCAATAATATGATCTCTTAAAGTGTATTAGACTTTAATTCTGTTTGAGAAAACAACTGGTTTGTCAAAAACACAAAAGAAAAAAGTACTATTATCATACCTATTTGACATGAACAAATCATTAACACGAACAAACCTATTTGATTTATTTCAATCATAATAAATAAATATTACATACATCAAAAAATTAAAAATAAATAAATATAAGATAATTGACATATCAAACAATAAATTGAGAAATATCAAATAATAAAGAGAGTTTTCAAAACTCAGAAGAATAAAAAATAATAAAAAATAAAATAAAAAATAAAAAAATAATACCTTAATGTAGTTTTGATTTTTTATTTTTATTCCTTTTAATTTTTGTAAGAATAAAAAAACTTCTGATTTGAAGAAAAGGAGAGAGGAGAGGGAGATTGATAGGGAGAAAGGGAAGAGTATTTTTTTGAGAGAGAGAATTTTTTTGGAAAAAAATAACTCTCCTAATAAGCTGGCGTGTTTTTCTTATAAAAAAAAGAAGAGAAAACTCCTAATTGGAGCTTTATTTAAAGCTTTTTTTAAGATTTTATTTTTTTAAAAAAAGTTACTTTTTTTTAAGAGTTTTATACGAAATTCTGTTTGGCCAGCCCAAACGAGTACTAAGCCTTAATCATTAATCATGTAAGTGGATGCTAGTGTAACAAGAAGAGAAATAGAAGGTAGGGGTGTGGATACCTAAGTTGCATTTAGTACTTTATAATGCAATGTGATTGAAAATTAGGATTACATTATATAAGTTAGATTCTCTCTATCGTGAATGTGAAATTTTATTTTTTGATTCAATAACAATAATTGTTATCTAATATAAAAGTCAAAATCTTCACAAGAAAATTATAGATCAATATACACATACCTTAAAACAATTCAAATCTCTCAACTCCAAAAGGAATTAGATTTAGATCAAAATGCAAGTACCTCAAAAGCAATTCAAGTGCTTTGTCTCCAAAGAGATTCATGCGTGTTTGTTTTCTAAGGCATTTTGTTTTTGAAAAACTATTACTCATTAATCTTAATGACCAACAAATCAACAATCCTCACTTGTATAGATCTATTAGACACTAGAGGTGGAGGGAGGGCCTCGAAGTTTCAAAACTTTAAAAAATTTTCCTTGTTTTATTTTAAATATTTATAATTTTACTCTTGATTTTTTAAAAAATTTTATAATTTTGCTTTTTCAAATATTGAATTTTTTATTTTTATCCCCTCAAACTTCCTAACTCCACCTTATTAGACTCAATTTATAGTCTAACAAGACTTATCTATAAAATTCACAAGAAAAATATGCGTGAAACCTTAGGATTATATTAAAATGTTAGTATAGTTTTTTTGGTAATGTCACTAAATAATTTATGATCATATTATATACATATATATATCATAAATAAATAAAATATTTATTAAAATATAATATATATATATATATATAATCAATAATAGACATAGTAATTTATTTATTTAATAAATAAATAATAAAATTAATTTTTAAAGGCATATATGTGTACCAATATAGACCAACCGTATTCACATTAAATAAAAGAAAAGCAAGATGTCAAGCTACGTCATGTGCAAACGCCCATCTTATTATGTTGTTGGAATTATGGTGCCTTAGGCATTCAGCCTTTTATCCTCTAAAGATGTTGAAAAAAATAATAAGACAAAATTTGAGCCAAATCGAAAAGATAAAAGGGGCAGTGAGAGCAACAGCAAATCAGTTCAAAGGAATGACGTTGCATTGAATTGTAGTGGCAATGCAATGGGATGATAAAGAAGAGAGGAGTTGGCATTGCGTTGGCCTCTGCCGTTTCGGCTTGATCACAGCTCAACCTTATCCTGATTGATTTTCAAAAATCCCAACGCAAGACGCTTCAAGTTTAGGAGGCTCCAATTCTAGAACATTTATGAGCCCCAATAATTCTTTTGTTCGTTTTGCTTTTCATCAATCTCGAACTCTGCTTTTTGTTTGACTAATTTAATGAAAACTCATATTCTCACTAGAAATTATGTAAACTGTTTTAAAGGTGAGTAAATGGGTAGATTGATGATCTAATCCGTCATATCAAAAAATTAAATGAATAAAATATTTTTAAAAGATTAATCAAAACAAACCAAACATAAAAAAAAAAAAAGGATCAAACATACTAAACATATAATTGATTTGGTCAGTTTGATTTTAGATTAATGAATTAACATTTTATCATCTTTTTTATAAATTATAATATTAAAATTTATAAATTTCATCTATAAATATTCAATATACAAATTGACTATAAATTAAAGAGTTCCTTTAAAAAATACTCCTCGTATATAAGATGTTTTTGAAAATAATATTTTTTATAATTTTAACTATTTTAAGTCAAGAGAAATTAATTTTAGATACAATTACTTTTAATAAAACCAACCTATATGTTTAGATCCGCACATCAAATTGACTCATATTCTTTGAGCTTTTCTTGTCAGATAATTCATTTTTAGAATATTCCTTCCCAAAAAAAAAACCTTTAAGCATTTTGGAATGGTTTTTTATACATAAAAAAAATTGAGCATTTTGAGCATTGTTAAGCATTTTGGAGTGATTTTTGATACATGAAGAAGAATTTTTGAGTATTTTGAACATTTTTTATCAAGTAGGTATATTCATTGACTATCTTGTTAAATGGAATATAGTGTATTGTTTGAAATTGTTGATTTTGTTAAATGAAATTCAGTAGTTTTAGTGATTTTAAGCATTACATAATCCTTTTTGTGTATTGCATGATTAGTTTTTATGTATTATGTAACTGATTTTTAAGTATTGCATAGTTAATTTTTAGGTATTACGTAATTAGTTGATACAGCATTGTATGACTAATTGATAGACAGTATGTTAGTAAAGCATTGCGTGACTAGTTAGCAAGGCATTACATGACTATTTTTTATGCATTATGTGACTTAGACATTGTCTAAAAATCAACACATAATGCCTAAAACCATTCAAGCAATACCTAAAAACTAAAGATGCAATAATTAAGTCATATAATGCCTAAAAATCAGTTTCGTAATACCTAAAAATTAGTAACACAATGCCTAAAAATAAAAAATGCAATGCTTAAAAATCAGTCTCATAATACCTACAACTAATAATACAATAACTAAAAATCAGTAATGTAATACTTAATAATTAATTGATTTGTTTGCTCACAACCAGGTTTAAATTACCAAAGTTATACAATCTTCTAATTAATTTCAATCTCTCAACTTTAGGGTTCTATAAATAAACTAATAAACTAGAGAACCTAAAATACATACTTTGATATCATCTTTACTCATTGGGATGACAAGATAGACAATATTTGACAAGAGAAAGAAATCGAGATTTAATTTTGAAATTTTTATCTGGATGGCGAGATAGAGAAAATCGAAACTATTTTAATTTATTTGAAATTGTTTAAAAGGCATTGTTCTCAGGTTATGTCAAAAATTAACTAAAAATAATTAAAATTATAATGAAAGATATTTTTGATTGAGCTTCTGATGAGGGTTATTTATCATAATTTCTTCTAAATTAAATATATGTATATATAATATATATTACTTTATTATATATGTAAAATTAATGACATAACTTATATGTTATAATATTTTAATTTTTATATCAAATTTTTTATAAATAATAACTAATAATAAATAATATGCTACAAAAATTAAGACGCTAACTAATAAAATTATTAAATGTAATCATATAAATAAAGTTTATTATGAGTTACAGTAATGTTTATATTTAAATTAAATATGTGCATATAGATAATATATTATTTTATTATGTACATATGAAATTAATGATTAAGTGTAATTATGTAAATAAAGTTTATTATAAGTTATAGTAATGCTTATATATAAATTAAATATATATAAATTTATACAATTATTTATATATTCATAACATTTTATATGAAACATTACTAAGATGTAATAATTAGAACATATTAATATGTAGGATATATACTATCATATATTATAATATTAACATATAAATTATATCATTTAAAATATATAAGTTGTAATTTTATATTAACACAGATTTATAAATAAAAAAATAAATAAAATTAAAATTAAATTATTATCATTATGATTCGTATACATACACATAATAAATTATATATTTTAAGTATATTGTTAATTAAATTTACTATCAATTCTTCTTCATATATATAAAAAAATTATATATATTCGTATATATAAAAAATTAATTTAGTTTTTTGAGAGGATTGATCTAAAAATTTTAATACCGAGAATCAATCAAAAAATCAATTAAATCAAATATTTTGGATCAATTGATCTAATAGATCAGTTAAACTGAATAGTTTTATCTAAATCATAATTGATTTGGATAGATAATTGATCTAATTTGATTTTACTCACTCGTAAGAATATCAGTGTTTACCGACCCATTTCTCTAGTTGTTCCTGAATTGATCTGTTTTATTCTGATCGTGTTAGGAATTAGGCTACTAAATGGAATTTTTCCCCCAAGTACCAAACGACAATATTTCAATCTAATAGCGATGAACGAGGAAGAATCAACAAGTTATGAAAAGGAACAGATATCAAGTCCATATTTGTTGCAATTCTGCGAAATAAGCTTTGAATGCTTCCGGCAATCCGGAAAAGAGATTAAAAACAAGAGGAAAAATCATTTTAAGTGGTAGCCAAGGAGATTATTTATGATTAGCAGCTAGGGAAAATGGAATTCACAGATGTCAATTAACTATTAGCCATAACTGGGTCCTTTATCAGTAGCAACTATCGGCCACAGGGAAGAAAGCTCCTTATGAAGAACCATTTGCAAATTGCAATTGCATTAGTATTTCGACAACATAGATCTCTGTAGACAGTATGGGAGATTTGTTTATCATATACCCCTTTTTAATGCCAATATAACCTCCAACTAAAAGAGGCAGGCTCATATGTGCTTCCTAGATTTGGGATTACAACCCTTCCTAGTGCCAAGCTCTGAGACATACTTGGAGGCTTTATCAAGCACACCAGACATCCAAGTAGCACCCTTCGCAATATAATCAGTGTTCAAGATCCTGGTCGCCACGTCTCTTGCTGCCTCCTCAGCTGCAGAAACTGCCTGATCGGCTGCATAAACAGCTGATCTTGTTTTGTTCATCAGCTCTCTACTTTTCTCTGATAATTTGTACTTCTTTCCAATTTCATCTCTTGTCTGGTTCAACTTTTCAATGCCTTCTGAAGCCATCACCTGGACCACAGCTTGCATTACAGGAATATTTCCTTGGATCCTGTTGTTCTGCACATAATACATGTTCATCATGGCTTTCTAAAGTTAGGAATGTACTCGCAAATAAATTCATGCAACGTTCCCCCCCCACACCCACACACACACATGTTCTGCCTTCTTGAATGCTGTTGTTAAGGGTAGATCTGTCATCAAAGTCCAGAGGATGATCCAAACATGAAAGAATTTGTAGAGAGTCCAGCATGATTAGAGAGAGCCCTCAGAGGCAGGAGATCATCTAACATCTTTATATGACCAAAACCATATACCATGAATTATGACAAAGCTACAGGCACAACATTTCCCAGGAAAACTTGAAAACCAGTTCCAACTTTACTTGCATGTTAAGGCAAGTGTCATATATGACAAAGGTACACACCATGCACACTGCTAAAACATGGGAGCCTGCACACCAAAGCATGAAGACTTGGATGCTTACTGCTTACTTACATTAGGCAATTTATGCATACACATACATACAGGGACAGAGAGAAAAAGAAAGACAAACCTCAGTAACATTAGGCAGTTGATGTGGGAGTGGAGGATTTGCGAAATCCTTCTTTGGCAGAACTCGAATCGGTTGGCCTGCAAAAGTAGCATCCTGCAAACAAGTGGCACAAGCGTCAATAATAAATGCTGAACTTCATAATATGACAGATTTCGTTATATATATATAAAGAGAGAAGGGTGAAAAGCAAAAGCTATGCTGATTTTGGTATGAATGTGGAAAACCATAACTTGGTTAGGAATGGACCAATTGGTGGTCAAAATCTGAAACAAGACACCTCACACAGGCAATATTAAATAACGTAAAAATCAAAAATATAACTTTTGGCCCCAGAGACTTGCAAGAGCCGTACACTCATAAGCACTACTACCTTTGGCATTAGCTATCAAAAGTTCTGGCTTGGAGGAATACTGATCTCTAACAATTAGAATGAATAAATTCATTTTTTTCATAGTCCTTTCCTTACACTTGAACCGTTTCCATTCAAGGTATGTAACTGAGATGGGTAGTGTAGAAACATAAATAATCAAAGTAATATAATGGCATGAATAATTTTACAATTAATGCACAACCATGGACAGATCATATAGATCAGGAAATTATTATTACATTCTGAACGGATTTAACATATATAAAAGAAGCTCCTAAACAAAAATTGGAAAAATATCTAAGTATATATACTATCACATGTAGGATATAAACAATTCAGTATATATCTGGAATTCTGGATTAAGTGATCAACGTAAAGATGACAGAAAGCTAATAATTTCAAAGCATTACTGTTTCAAGGAAACAAACACCGCAGCCACATTGGCTCCACGTCATTAAACACCATATTAAATATCACCTAAATTACTGAAAGCATTTGTTTGTTACATTTAGGAGAAGAGCTGTTTGATAAGCGTATGGCTGCCTAAATGTTACCAGAGCTGACTGCGATCCATCTTTATTCGCACTGGTCACCAAAGAGAGAACCCTAATTAATACTGATTGAAAAGCTATTATAATTGGGAAGGAAAAGAAAGAAAGAAAGGAAAAACAAAGCGATATTGAAGCAACAAGCTTTGCAAGTTACAATTACCCCTGAAGCAGGATTTTCTCGACATGGCCACAGTATGAGAAAAATGCAGTGAGCTCTCCAAGAGTAACTGTAGGAGAAAGGTTGAGAACCACAACAGTTAAATTCGGATTAGCCATTCTCGGTACAGTTTCTCGCTATCCTTCTTGCAATGTTTACCATCTCTTTCTGCCCAACTAAAAGCAAAGACTGTAGAGCAGATAAACATGAATAATTTGTACTAGTGGGAGAATAAAGTATGATATATATGTTTTACACGAATTTATTCCCCTCTCATAAAGCTTGAAAGCTTTCACAATCTCTGCACTGCGTAGGATAAATATCTATAAGATTCTACTCGTAATCATTAAGCTCAATATTTCAATTAAAAACAATAAACATAGAGTTTATTTTCATTTGGAGGAACGGTGAAGGAAAACAAATCGTTTTTTGTGTGATTAATGATCATGGTTATGGATATGGATGCGTACAAGCACAGCAAAAGCATCGCTGGACGGACTGGCCTTTGGACCCCCGCCATTTGTAGGCGCAAGCCTGCTGCAACATGGGGCTGGCCTTCTCAGTTATGCGTCTATTACTGAGATCTATGAGCACTTAACCACGGAGTCAAATTTTTTTTTTAATTTATATATTTTTTTCTTAGCTAATAACAGATAATACTTCCTCCTCTGAATTTTGATTATTAGGTCCAGAAAAGGGTATTATCAGAGGGAAATGAAAGGAAAGAGCCAAAACCAAACAGAAGAAAGAAAAAGGGTGGAAGGAAGTGTCATTATCAGAGGCAAAGATTCCGCAAGACACGTTGGGAGTTGCAAATGCGTCCTTTTGTCCTTGTCATCCAACTGCTTTTTGACTGTCCTTTTCTACGCTAATGCCAAGAATTGAGAGTATTTTCATCAAAAATCACAAAATCAATTTGTTTATGCTTCCATCCCAACTTGTTATATGGCTATTGCGTAAAACCAACATTGGTTCATTGTTTCTCTTTTGTAATACTAACTAGTATTTGCTTCTTATAAATTATCGATGCAGGTGGAATGACAGATAATTCTTTAATCAAACCAAGTTCGTTGATATGTTCAATGGTCACAAAGCTTGCTTCACTTGTCGTTTTTATAACAATTAATTGATACACCAACTGAGTGAGGAATTATTAAATAATCAAAAAAAGAGAGAAAATTTCCATTTTTCAAATTGGTTAATTAATATAACTATTGTATGCAATAATTACAACTAAAAAAAAAACCATAATATATAATAGACTAGGGAGGTGGGGAGCATGGAAAAACGCGTGAGGATCTCCGGTGAAGACCACGTCCTCCACCGTCTCTCACTGCTAGAAATAATAATAATGGATTAATATATACTAATTAATATGTAAAAAGAGAAGAAAAAGACAGCAAATAATAGTCGTCAAAATCGCGATCCGACTCGTCTGGCGGAAAATCGCCACGCGAGCGAAATGTGCAACCCTCTCTCTCTCTCTCGCTCTCTAACCATCTTTGCTGGCCTGTCGTCCATCTTTCTGGCTTTTGAGCTTTTTGGAGAGAGACTCTAACCTCCCCCGCTGAGCTCCGATCCCTTTTAACATTTTACCCTTCGCCGCTCCCTCTGCAACTCTGGAACCTTGCCTTCCTCTCTTCCTCATTCCCTTCTTATTTCCAGGTAAAGTTCGACAAAAAAAAATCAAATTTCCTCGCTTTTTTTTTTTTTTTTGGTTTCTTCCTCTCCATTCTCCAAAACAAAGGAAAACCCAATAATGTGGAAAAGTGTTATTGGCTTGCAGAGTTGCCGAGGGACATGTTATAACAGTGAAAAGGACAAAGAAAGATAGAGAGATCTGATTGTGGTTTAAAGAGATGTACGAAACTCCGTTGCCTGCTCAGCTTTCTGATTCCAACCGCCGCATCATCGACACCAGTGCCACTACCCTTCGAGTCTATCAAGTTTGGAAAGGAAGCAATGTAATTTACTATCTATTTCCCATTTTTCTTCTTTCCTTTTCTTGCACTTAACAATTAATAACCTCTCTCCGCAATAGCTAACTTTGAGCTGGATTTTTATTTGTTCAGAGATTTTGCCTTGGAGGTAGACTTGTATTTGGTCCAGATGTAAGGTCAATCTTCCTTACAATATCTCTAATTGTGATCCCTGTCATTTTGTTTTGCGCTTTTGTTTCTCAAAGACTCATTCACGAATTGGACCACCATCTTGGCAACCTCATTGTATCTATTCTCATTATCTTCACTGTATATGTAAGTTCTCTTCTTCCATAAATTGAAAAGAAGAAAATTATAATCAAATAATGTCTTTGTTTTTGCGTTGATTCTGTAATTAACATTGTTTTGCCTGCCAAACTAGTTCAGGATCTTATACTTCTGCTCCTCACATCTGGAAGAGATCCTGGCATTATTCCTCGAAACCTGCATCCCCCAGAACTGGAGGAAGATGGTTCCACTATGTCTACGGATTGGCTAGGGAGTCAGAGTGGTGTTGGTGTTCCAAGTTTACCTCCTACAAAAGATGTTGTGGTTAATGGGGTGATTGTCAAGGTTAAATACTGTCAAACGTGTATGTTGTATCGCCCACCCCGCTGCTCACATTGCTCTATATGCAATAACTGTGTGGAGCGCTTCGATCACCATTGTCCATGGGTGGGGCAATGTATCGGGAAGGTATATGCTTCTGTATTTAGGTTTTCAATTTATGAAAAATTTGGGTTAGTTTTATCCTTGTTGAAGTTTCTCTACCAAATAGGAAATGATTACAAGGTGCTTGCAACTGGTTACTGGTTACATATCCTCTGACATAGGGCCGATTGCTTTCATCTTTGAGAACTTGCATTTATCAAAATAATGGCTTAAGGCATGATAAAAGAGATGAACTTAATGATCACTAGTAATTAATTTTAGACCTCTAACTTCTGGCAAGATATATCTATCGTCTTCAAATTCTTCATGCGAGTCAATTGATACCTTGCTTTAGTACTAGTAGTAGAAATTTTTTCATCCAAAATCTCTTTTCTCAAATATCTTTATCCAAGTAATCAAATAATTGGATTCATCATATCGGAGTTCTGCTTAGTGATGGGAATATGCCATCTGTCATTCACAAAATCACAAGTCTTCAGTCTGTGGTCAGCTGGAACGTTGCGTTTGTAGTCAAACATGCTGCTCGTAGAAGTTTCCTATTGTAAACTTCCTGTTCAGGTTTATAAGAATCAATTTAAGGGGAAGGATTTCAGATAGGTTTCTCCACTTATTTATTTATTTATTTTTGTAAAGAAAAGGGGTATAGTTCTTCAAATGAATCCTATAGATTGAAATATCTACAATACTATTGTGCTTGTGAAATGAGTTGGTCCTTTAAATTGTAAACTTTGCCTCACAGTTTGCTTCAAAAAAATTGTCCTGCAAACTGATGCTTCTCTGTTTCATCTGAACTTTTCAGCCTGAACCATGACTTGTGATTATTAAGTGATTTCTTATGTGCTTTGCTGGCTTTAATTGTGGGACACTATTTTTAATCATCAAGGCTAACATGTAAAATTGTTTCATGACAGAGAAATTATAGATTCTTCTTCATGTTCGTGTCTTCCACAACCATACTATGCCTATATGTTTTTGCCTTATGCTGGGTAAACATTAAGAAAATAATGGATGAATATCACTCTAATGTCTGGAGAGCATTCTTGAAGTCTCCTGTCTCAGGGATTCTTATTCTATATACATTTGTGACTGCTTGGTTTGTTGGAGGCCTCACTGTGTTTCATCTCTATTTGATTTTTACCAATCAGGTTCTGGTCTCTTCTTTTCCTTCATTATCTTCCATTATTGTCCTCTCTCTCTCTCTTGCTAATTTTATGTTTTTACAGACAACATATGAAAATTTCCGGTATCGTTATGATTCAAAAATGAATCCTTATAACCGTGGCTGTGTCCGCAATATTTTTGAGATTTTCTTCTCCAAAATTCCCAAGTCCAAAAATAACTTCAGGGCGAAGGTCAAGTTGGATTCATCTGCTCTCTTTGCTGCCTCAATATCCTTGGCACGAACCATGAGCCCAGAGATGCCAAAAACAAGCTTTGACATTGAGATGGGAAAGCGGCAAGCGGTTGCTGCTGAAGATTTTGAAGAAATACAGAGCCAAATTGATAGTGTTGGTGGATTGGAGAGGTGTGGAACGCAACCAAGGCACACAAACCAGGGTGACAAAGCCAACTGGGAGATGTCACCTGATATTCGAATGTTGGCTGCTGAGTTTGGAATGGAACCCAGTTTCAATGATAGACAGAAAGTTCGTAGAGGCCATTGAAGCCGGTTTCACCTAAACTATAGTCAGAAAAGCATGTCAATGATCTTAGAGCCTACTTGAAAATTGCCAACCCTGCTGATTAAAATTGGCAACTGAACAGGTCTGCTAAGACATTAATCCATCAGAAGGTTGTTTTTAGGCTTTATTTGTCTCTGCAAGGAAGGAATGTTCTGGTCTGGCTAACGTATGCAGGGGTTCATGTTGTATATCATACTGCTTTGAGAGATGCTTGGGGTAAGTTTTGTGCTATAATGTGTTCGTTTGTGAGGATCTGGTTGGGTGTTTATAATTAATTGGATATGTGAAGGTTAAATTAAATCATCAATGGTAGAAGGGGTTTTTTCTTTTCTTTTTTTTAAAATTGTAGATAGAGCTTGGGGCATTTTCTGCTGGGTCCTGGAACATTGTGCTATTTTCCGTACTTTTCTTGCACTTTTTAGGCCTGAGCCTACCTTTGCAGAAACTTGCTTTAACTCTCATGTAGGTGATATCAGTAATTGTTTCCAGAGTTTCCTGAAAATGAGTTTTCAGAAAGGATTTATTTGCGGAGTGAAATGGTCATGGATCATGGCAAGGGTGACTGACTTGAATTATGTCTTCCAGGTCCATTCGTTTCCTGTTGGTTGTTTATCTTTGACAAGTACTTTGCAAAGGATGGTGGTTTTTGCTATTGATACTGTTGGCCTGTGTAATTGTCACCTTTTTCATCAGAAATTCTTGTTTACAGTGAGGAATTTGGAGGTGCTGTCGATCAGGACGCAAATAGGAATAAGTTGTTCAAACAAGATAGTGAATTCCAACATCTTTTTTAATGATAAAGTTGTAAATCATGTGATTATGGAGGTATTGCACTGAAAATGATCATCGGTTATAAAGAAATTAGCAGCAACAATACAAATTACATCATTTCACTCGACTGCTAAATCTGATTAGCATGGTTGCTTCTTTCCGATTATGTTAACCAAAAATGAAATGGGAACAGTTCGCTCTTTCTGGCAAAGGCGGTGTAATTATTACAACTTCACTAATAACCTTCAGACTAGAATTAGTTCTGTAGTTCACCAGTTTGAACGCAAATTGTTCAGGCTTTGCTGCGCATTGGAATACTCCAAGTTCATTATGTTACCGTCATAGCTTCTTTTCTTGTCAGTACTCTGATGCCCTGCTGGCTCCACACCTAAGAAATCAACTGTCATTTTTTCACCTCCTCTCATGTACGCTTCTCCCAACAGATTTGTAGCGTTCCCATTCTCTGAGTCCAGAAAATGAGAATCGAACAATGCAGTTGGAGCAACAGTATGGTGACATCTTAAATCCCCTGCCTCCAAGTTTTTGTCATATGTTTCGTCTCCCACGAACAAACTATTGGTGCTTGCCGCATTTGTTGCTATGTTGCTACCTACCATGGAAGAACCTTCCTGGGCAGAGCCAGCTGAGTTCATGCTGCCGGTAGAATATCCGGTAAAACCTCTCAGGAGTATTGGGGCGATTGTATTATCGCTGATCTTAGCACCCATTTCCGCAGCTTTCTGCAACAAGGCTGTGGCAGATGTATAAGCGGACCCAATTGCTAGAGGAGATGCCAATGACGTTCTTGGATTGAAAATTGGATCTAAATTGCTGGATATCATGACTCCAGCTGGGTTCAGAGATAATGGCCTTGGTGAATTGTCCATCTTCTCATTAGAAACCGACAGATTCATCATTGTGTTTGCATTGGAGCATGAATCAGAACTGGGCATTGATGAAGTGAACAGCTCTTGCGCTTGGCTTTGCAAAATCCCCCCACTGGCGGCAAGGTTATGGTTCATCTTGTAATTTTCCTCTGTTAATGCATCACAGAAGGCTCTGTGTGTGACAAAGCTATCCTTCCTGTACAAGACAAGTGGATATTGAATAAAATATATCACCATTGACATGTTGAGAAAAACATGTTAACATAGCTCTTCAATATGCACTGTTACAATGGAACCGCAATAGACCTCTACCTTGAAAAAATTGTGCCACAATCACAACGATATTCTCGGGTGCCACAGATCTTTGTATGTGCCTTCCAGTCTGATTGAACAGCATATCGTTTGGAGCATTTATCACACTTCCATTTCTTTTCTCCATGCTTCCTGCAGAAGTGCTTCTTAATTCCAGTCAAGTCACCTAGAGCCCGGCTTGGATCATGGTGCACACAATTTAGCTCAGGACAGACATAAACCCTTTTCTTAACCGGTGTATTGGTTCTTTGCTTCAGCTTCCAAGGCAAGTTATGTCCTCTCCTATGGAGCTGAAGGTTCTGATCTCTTTGAAATCCTTTATGGCAGACTTCACATATGTACCTGTTGGTTGCCATTAGAGTCTTTGGAGATAATGCAACAACCTCTGCATCTGGATCTGAGAAATTGCCAAAGGAGAAAGTTGGTGAGTTGACAATTAGCTATGCATATGTATATATATATATATATTTGTAATTAATGTGCCTGGAGGAATCTGAATCAACCTTCATGCATCTTATTTAAATATAAATTATTGTGATTACTTGTTGCATCTATTGGGATTAGACATATAAAAGAAAAGGATGCAAAAGAATCCTTTAAGTTTCCAAAAACCAAATGCCAAGTAATGCACAATTGCACATCCAATTAGATGGAAAGAAGATGGTCTTAGCTCTTGATTAGCATTCAGTACCGGAATTCTGCGTTGTGTAAAAATGTAACTAGAGGGTATCATATCGGGTATTAGAAAACATTGACAAATACGAAAAGCATGAAAAATCTTGCCAGCGCTGTTCTCATGCAGTGATGCTCTATGGCTTATGTTTCACGTAAACAATGATCAAAAATTGATTTTGCGACTACGCGTTTAAACAAAGAGATAAGATAGTTTACTTGCCTGGATTCCCTGGAAGATTTCTTTTCTTCTTTGAACTTGTGGTGGTAGGAGTTGAAGCATCACCACCATTTTCAACAGGATTGGGACTCTCGTTAGACGAGTGTGAGATGACAGTGCTTGGAAACTGTTCATCTTCTTCAAAATCCTGAACAAAGTTCGACATGTTTAGCAGGCCTTGATACTGATCAATATTAAGAGGCAGTTGATAATATATGATCAGATAAGGTGGGAGACCTGGCTAGCAGACAAAAGGAAGAAGAAATTCCATACCAACCACGATCAAAGACAATGCTCCATGCATTGAAAATTAAACTGGAATTAGAATTCTTTGATGGCAACATCTTTGTATCCAATAATATTTGTTACGATCATCTATCAATAAAATAGACATTATAAGTTGGGTCTGTTTGTCCTATGTGTGACGAAGTAAGTGAACTTCTTGCAAACGCCCAATGGTTTCTTTAGATTACTGAAGCATTAATAGCTATTGTCTGCATTTCAACCGGAGTTTTTTCGTTTTCGGATGTCTCTTGAAGTCAAAGGATCGAAATCAAAGTCAGTGTGAGCACTTTTTTAATGTGTGGATCTTTAAAAGCTATTTGCCGTTTATGTTTTGACATTAGGAATTAGTTGAGACTGGTAATTAATGTAATGTGACCAAAAGAGTAACCGACAAATCAAAAGGGACAATGTAGACGATGCCAAAGGAGAGATCCGTATGAAGAGACAAGTTATGCCTCCTGTTCAAAATTGTTTAAGATGGTCTGCCTACCTACTTCCACGATCCACCTGGGATACCCATCACTACTTGGCTTTTGTGTTTGTCATTCTTGTTTGTTGCTTTGCTTTAAAATTAGAGTATGCTTAACTTATTTTTTCTAGCATCTTTATCCAAATTCCAGTAGCAGCATGTGCTGTTTTACGTTAGAAAAGAGGCAACCATTTCACAAAATGGAACATCAAATCTTGTTCACGCTTGCATGCTATTAACCCGACTGCACCTGGAAGAGTTATATCAGTAGCTCAGCTGGAGAGATCGGAGCGTGCAACAGAAAAGACTGGATTAAGAAACATAGAGTTATAAATTAATTGGGTTTGGGTTTGGGTTTGGCACCTATTCATCACTGGCCAGTTTTAAGTTATGAACTCCCTTGGTAAGGAGCCAACGTTCTAGGGGAGATCCACATCTTTTTTTCAACTCATGGCAGTCCAGTGCTGATCCTTGGATCGCCAGGCCAAATGCCTAGAGGGGCAGAGCATTTTAAATTGGCTTTTTCATAAAAAAATTTTCGTTAATAACAAAAACTGCCGTACAATGAGTATTTCGTTATTGCAGATTCCTGTGTCAACTGATGACATTGACATCAATCATGCTAATTAGCCTCATCGGCGGAGCCTCAGATGGAGGACCCTTCCAGATTCCAATGACCTTCTAACTTTTGAATCTTGAAAATAACAAAGTATTTGTTTTTATCAAAATTATTGCCAATACCATAAGCATTTCTGGTGACGTGAATCCGACTTGTCTTAAAATAAACAGGCTATGCTAGCGGACAACGGAGTTGAAATCTTCAACCGTGAACCTCAGCAGTTGTGCGTTCAAACTAATATTTACTCTTTAAGAATTTTGTCTTTGGTCATACACCTGTGGCTGTGGACCATTTCGGATTTAACAATGTCATTCTTGTACTTTAAGGAAAGATGCCAGCAGCAAGGTAATTAATTTAATTAATTCAAACGGCTATTGAAGGAGCTCATCAGCCAGCAATATTTCTCAAGTTCGAAAATGCCACAATCACTAATATTACTCTTAAACTGAACTCCTTTTATAAAGGAGAGTGCTCATCTCACTCAACTCCTGCTAACAAAGCAATGCATCCAATTGACAACCACGGACCCTAACCAACAGCTCACCAAAGCCATATGATGCAACAGAAGTCTGCTGCACAACTAGCTAAGCAATTGCAGGCAGCTGCAAGACCATAACCAAAGGCAAGTTAAGACAACAGCAGCTAAGCTACACCTCCATTACAGCTGCAACTGAAGTCTATCCACTCTTCAATTGATCAAACACTTATCCATTCCAATAGCAGAAGATTCAAAGCAAAGTTTATCCATTGACGTTGTTCAAGACTTAAAAACTTTTTAAGTTCAACAGGATTGCACTGATCATCATTGTTTAGTTCATTTCTTTTTTCTTTTGAAGATTAAATATCACTCCAAAGGCAAAAGGAAGATCCCAAAATGACACGGGAGCAAAGCCATGACAAAAAAGAAGTCAAAATGGCTGCTTCAGGCACGTTCTGGTTAACAAAAATCCCAGTTCAAGCACCTTTCATGCTATACAAAAATCAGAAGGCAGACCACACTCCTATACACTTAACACCAAGATCGAATGCAATCAAGAATAAAAAAAACAGCCTAAATCAACAAGAAAATAAAACAAAACACCGCAGTCATGTTTCCTGTTCTTGCAGACCCTTAAAAAAGCTCAGTGCATCTCGACAGCGTACCAACACTACTCAGGCCTGGCCAAATCCAGGCAGAATGAAGACCACCATAAAGGAGAAAACTGTTGATTTTTCTCAGAAAACAAACTCCATAACAGAGTAATTTGAAAATAGGAGAAGACAGTGAATGAAAGAGTCTAATGATTCTCATTTCATTTCAGTATCTATACAACAATTTAAAAATTCAAATTATTAAGTTAAATTTGACCTCGAGAACCAAAAAACTAACGAAGAAATCGGATCAAATTGGCTCAAAACAACCTTGACTTCTTTGCAAGCTTAATGACTAATAACAAAGTCTGTTAAGCTTGAAGATGATCAAAATGACAACTCCACAAAGTGTATAACCACAAAAAACAAACTTAAAAGACTTGACTAAACAACATTACGTAGAAGGAGAAAAATTATGAGCCAATTACATGTCGCTATATGGATTTAATGATGTCATAACTATGTAATTAATTATAAAATGATTAATTTATTAGTTGGATTATTTTAAAGATATATAGTTGAATCAGTTCACCTATTGGTATATATTTATCCATTGACATAATTTGAAAATAATATTTAAATAGGTTCAATTAAAAATTAGTTATTGGTCATCCAATTTGTCTCTAAATAAATCAAGATAATTTAGAGATAATATTCATATTTTTGATCAATTAAAATTTAGTTATTGGTCATCCAATTTATCTTTAAATAAATTAAAATAATTTAGACATAATATTCATATTTTTGACCAATCAAAATTTAATTATTGGTCATTTAATTTATCTCTAATAATTATACTAATTTAGAGACAAAAATTAAATTTAATTATTTAATTTATTTCTAAATAAATTAAGATAATTTAGAAATAATACCTAACTTCAGCCAATCAAAATTCAAGGACTCAAGGTCCGGCCAATCAAAAGACTTTTAATGAGTAATCATAATTTATCTCTAAATAAATTAAAATAATTTAAAGATAATTCAAAGAGATTGCATTCTCATCAAAGTCTCTCGCCTAACATTATAAATAGGGGCTCCTCCAAGTCATTTTCATTCATTCGGAGGCATTCGAATATTGAGAGCATTTTAGAGATCAAGAAGAATAGAAAATTTCTGAAGTGAAGATCAAGCGGCCGCGAATTTCGTGATCAAGATCAAGCGGCAACGAAGTTCGTGATCAAGCGACAACGAAGTTCGTGATCAAGATATCAAGTGTTCGTGATCAAAATTAAGTCGTGAAGACCATTGAAATGAAGATATCAAGTATTCATAATCAAGATTAAGTCCTAAAGACCTTTGAAATGAAGATCAAGCAAGTTCGTGATAAAGACTAAGTCTAAATTTGTGACTGTTAAAGATGAAGTGAAGAAATTAATTAGAGAAAGTTTCAGAGATCATCACTCACATTATAAAATATTTGTATTTGTCTCATAATTTTCAAATTAAGAAATTTCGACTAGAAATTTGTGTGTACACACTAGCTTGAGCGTTTAAGCCATTATAACAAATCAATTAAACAAAATGACAAACAACAATATGTTTTATAGCCTTAGAATTTGGGAAAAAAAATGACAACGTTTTGCCTCATTAGCCTCTTTCTTCAAGTTTTAGTTAACAGCCTCTTTCTTCAGGTTTTAGTTAGCAGTTGCTTCCCTCCAAACTATTTTTTCCTTTTTTAACCAAACTCAGCAACTTCCATCTTGACTTCAAACTAAATTAATGATTATTTCAATGCACCCCTATAATCATTAATCTGATGAATATCCAAACAAGATCTCAAAAATTCAAATCTTGCTTTGCTTAATGCCTTAGTAAACATATCGGCAAGTTGCGAATAAGTAGAGCAATACTTATGTTTTGCCAGCATCTCTCAAAGAGTGATATTTCACTTGAATATGTTTTGTTTGACCATGATGAGTAGGATTTTTAGCTATGGCAATTGTAGACATATTATCCACATTCAACACAATCCTTTTCTCCTAAGTCCAAGGTCCATCAATAATTTCCTCAACCATTTTACATGATCTGCAGTTGCAGTAGTACCTATATACTCAGCTTTTGCTAAAGATTGAGCAACAATCTTCTGTTTCTTTGAATTCCAAGAAAACATTGCACTACTAAAGAAGAAACAAAAACCACTAGTGCTCTTGGAATCATCAATGGAACCAACCCACTAAAACCTTGAAGCTTTCCACTATCTTTCTTCATATATATAAGACCAAAATCAGTAGTGCCTTTTACATACTTGAGAACTCTTTTTGCAGCCTTGAAGTGCATCAAAGAAGGTTTCTGCATAAACCTTAAAAAAAGACTTATAGCATACATAATATCAAGTCTTGTTGCTAATAAATACAACAATGACCTTATAATGCTTCTGTAAATCTGCCTATCTACATCTCCTGAACCATTTTGCTTACTCAACTTATCACCAAAGCAAGAGGATTAGTAACAGGTTTACATTAACTTATACTAAATTTTTTCAACAAATCTTTAGCATACTTTTGCTAATGTAAAACAATCTGGCCTTCACTTTGTTGAACCTCCATACCAAGAAAATAGGTCATTATTGTTGATTTCTCATGTAAGTGCACTTATCGTTAAGAAGTAATATAGTAGAAAGTAGAATTCATTCTCAAGGAGAATTTAATTAACACTTAATGTT